AAATCACTGACAAAATGTCGGAAAGGATTTTTATCAACTCACATATTTTTTTTCCCCCTTTGATGCTCTGAATAAAGGCTTTAAGTAGACAGGGTTGTTTGAAAAAGAAAACTATCCTAACATGGGATCAGCAGTGCTTTCAGTCGCATAAGCAACAAGCATCTCTCTGTTCTTGGCGAAAGAGTCCAAAGCGTGCTACTGATCTGAACCAACGAAGCATCTTTCAGAAGCCCGTGGGGAGCGGTTATCAAGGAAGCATCTTCTCGAAACAAAACCTACTCATGGGCTTCAGGATTCCAACCTGTGTGTATGGGCAGGTGTCCTACTACTCCACACCTGGAACACAGAGTTTCCCAGCATTACTCTCTCTTCCTTCGGCCCCTTCAACCCCCCAGAAAGATCATTCCCAGGATCGCAGATATCACGCAGGAGAATAGCTGTGTGGGCTGAAGGGACCAGAGTAAGGAAGGATAAATGGGTGGAATCCCTCCTTTTTTCTTCTCCTCTTTCCTTGTTCTCCCCACCCCAAGCCACCAATCCACGCAGCTCTGCCTCTTCGCAGATTCTTTGATTGTAGGAATGAGTTACAAAGCCAAAGAAGAACCATCCCTAATGAGACAGATACTTAGCTCTTTCCTAGAGAAACCTCCCAAGATATCAACCAGAAGCTACCAGAATGGGTAAACAGACTGGTCTACTAAGGCCCCCGGTCACACGGGAGGAATTGCCCCGCAAGAGGGACGGATCGGGGGCGCATCAAGCGGGCACAATCACACCGCAACATCTGGGAAGCTTCACACACCTGTCCCCGATCCGTCCCTTCGGCCCGAAAACGCGCATTTAAAAGGTAGTAGCAGCAGAGCACTACCTTCCGGATGATGCACGGCGTCTGGTCGGGGAAGCGCTGGTAGCCCGTCGCAGCCAGCGCCGCTCCCCGTCCCACCCATGCGCACAACCGCGCTACTACCGGTTTGCTGCACAACGTGTGATCGGCTGCAGGAGCACAGAGCCGCGGGGGCACATCGGATTGCGCTCCCGCTGTTCTTTTTGCTCCTGCTCTAATTTGCCTCCCTTCGGCAGCGGATCATCCCGCTCGTGTGACCGGGACCACATTCTCTCCATGGATTAGAAAATGGAGTCTTGACACAGCAACCACCGAAGGCAGAGGCTGCAAGGTAAAAAGGCTGGAGGACAACGGGAGGAGACCACTGGGTACATCTTGGTGACATCGACAAATGGCCACATATTCATCCATACCCTGACTAAATACTGTAATCCATTATATACGTTCCCCTTCCATTCTCCTGAATTATTAACCAGTCTTTGAAAAGATGCTGGGGATTGCTAAAGCCCAAAAGATAAAACTGGGGATTCCTATACACCACCTGGCCGTTTTGGGAAAGTGAATTTTCAGTGGACATAGAAGACTCCCCCTAATCCTTCATGCACCTAATGGGCCAACGTCCTACAAAAAAAGTCCCAGTTTCTGTTTTAATGACGATCACAAAGGAACAACAGGGTGCAAGACCAAAACCAGAAATGCCGAAACATGCCACGTGGACATTAATATATATGTAAATCAGACGTACATTAAACCTTGCTTCTGTTAGGCCATTACCAGTGTTAAATGGCAAGGCAAGTTGCAGTTACTATACATGCAGTGATTGGCCTTCATGAAGAGACTGGGAGACAGGAGGGCCTTCGCCAAATACTGAATGCTTCCTCTTTGTTCTGTTCAAACTGAACTTGATCAGATAGCCATCTTTATCCTGATTTTCATGTATACAATAATACTGAACCAGTCCAGGGCTCTTTTTGTAGCAGGGGCTCCTTTGCATATTAGGCAACATACCCCTAATGTAGCCAACCCTCCCAGATCTTACAGAGTTCTTCTTACAGGGGCTACTGTAAGCCCTTGGAGGATTGGCTACATTAGGGGTGTTGATAGATCGCCGCTAACAAAGATCCGGGGAGTGATTTCAACCAAAGTGATCAGCTTTATTGAAGTAACGAACAAGCGCATAAACCAGAACAGCTTTATATTGAGAGCTGGGCTCCTTTTATTTATTTATTTATTATTTATTATTTAGATTTTTATCCCGCCCTCCCCGTAGGCTTTTAAACATTCCTGGGCTGATATAGCCACGCCCATTGACAGATAACAACCAATGAGGTTGTCTGGATAAAGTCCAATGAAATTCATTCCCGCTCAGGGCATAGGTGTCGTTCTGATTGGTCGCTGAAACAGAGCGACCAATAGCAAGGTAGTTCTGAGGAGCCTTCGTCCGGCTTGAAGCTTCGCATGGGAAGTGAATGCGGTGATTCATGAAGTCATTTCAATACATAACAGGTGTGTCACCTAATATGCAAAGGAGCCCCTGCTACAAAAAGAGCCCTGCAGTGAACACCAATGTTATTATCAATATATCTACCATTAAACTGGCTCCTGTGTGGATAACAGAAATGGCACAACAGAGCCACCCAGAGAGAAAGGTAAGGGTCTCCCCATATACTTGAGAAGCACCACAGAAATATATGACTTTGTTAATTGATCAACAGGGACAGCCCTTCTGTTGCCACGCAGCCACTTCAGATGGCATTGTTAAAGACTCTGTAAGATGACTGCCTTGCTGGACTGTGAAAAGTGTGTGCCAGGGCAATGGGCAGAACTGCAGCTCTAGTGAAGTGCCCTGTGCTGGACTATGGGAAGTGTGGCCAAGAGGCCAAGAGGAGCCTTGAGCCAGATGTGGACCCGGGACTACAGAAGCCTTCTGCCGCCAAACTCCTTTATCCACACCAAGCACCATTATGCAGACCAGCAGCCCTGACTTCCATGCAAGCCAAGACAGCAGCAGATCAAAAAAGAAGCCATGCTCTCGTAAAGGACGGATGTTCCTGAACAGAAGCCATGAGGGAATCTCTTCTTTGTCACGTAGTCACATTTTAGTTGTTTAAGCTGAGCTCTCTCTGAGTCCGCTCTCCTGCTTGTTCCTCTCCTAACCCCACCCTACCTTGTTGGTTCCATTCTCGTCCGGTTTGGAATCCGTCCACGTGTGTTGTTGGTCAACCCATGATCTCTTCCCCTTAGTTTGTTTTTTATTTTTCGCTGCATGATCCAAGCGTCTCGTCGGACAGGTAAAGTATTACCCCACCAACGATATTCCTGCTCATGCAAAGGTCGCTATCCTTTCAACTCTGTATTCCTTGTGCTGTATTGTGTGTGAATGCTTGAGTATTGTTTGTATGCCTGAAAACATTCAGTAAAGAAATCAATTATTTTAGCAACACAGTCTCTGCGTCTATTTGCAGGCTCTGGGAATTCTGACTCCCATATACACAGGTTATGATCCCATATTTTATGCCTACTGCCATTTAATATTCATAATTCCCCAAGTTTGTTAATAATTAATTGGTCCGATGAGGACTAAATATGCCCTAGAAAGGAAGGAATGTTGAGAGCTGCCAAGTGCCAGTTAAAAGAAAACAGGAAGAAGACGTCTGCCTGCTCAAACCCCTGACGGCTTAGAACACTCTGGACACTGGGGTGTGAGGAATTCCACCTCCCCCCATGATTCTCACAGATACCAGTTTGCTTCATATTACTCCTTGTTCATATCAACTTCCATTACATTTAGTAATTTATGTAAAAATGTTTCTATGCCATTGCACAAGTAGTGTTATTTTATTTTCAGTACAAGGAAGTCAAGCACCTGTATTTTACAAGCTACTTTACCATGGCTTAGGGGATTAGATGAATTCATGGAAATTAAGTCTTTCAAATGGCTACTAGCCACGGCGGCTGAGGGGTCTCCTCCTCCTCCTCCTCTCCCCCCCCCCTCTCCCATGCCTGTCCCTGTGTCCAAAATAGCATTTTGGAGTTTACTTTTATCCTCTGGAATTTCAGTTTTAATCTTCTTGAGAGCTAACCCTTTTGACTCCCTGGTTTACAGAACGGATAGGGCGTGGAGTTGAGGTTTCCCCCGAGGCCCTTCAGTTCTAGCCGGATCCCAAGATGGGGTGGTGGTGGGGAATATTCAGCAGAGCCTTTATAAAGCAGAGGAGCTTATGAAATAGAGGGTGGAGCGGTGGGACGAAGAGGAAGAGAGAATCCTTCAACGTTCGTGACTTCTCTCGGGTGCGTTCCACTCCCTCGCCGACTTCTGGGTCTCGGCCTGCGTGCACATAACACGCTCTCCCGAGCCAAAACACCCATAAACGCTGTCCTAGATTCATAATCGCCTCATTCATCTCAAGCCGAGCAAGACGGGCCGGGCGGCCCTCCAAACCACATGAGCTTGGGAATGCAGAAGGGGGATCCATGGGTGTGTGTGTGTGTGTGTGTGTATGCTGCGGAGGGAGGAAAAGACGTTTGGGGAAGGGAGATGGGGCGGAGGGAGTAGGGCGAGCTGGGGCCCAGAACGAGGCAGGGGTGGCGAGCAGCTGTTTTCGAACCCTGCAGGGAACCTCGTCTGCCACGGAATCCATGCGTGCTGCAGAGGTCACATTAGCGGGAGTGAATGTGCTCCAGGGGATGGAAAAGGCCATCAAGTGGCGGCCAACTTATGGCAACCCTGTGGGGTTTTTTAAGGCAAGAGACTAACCGGAGTGGTTTGCCATTGCCTGCCTGGGCCCTGGACTTGCTCGGTGGTCTCCCATCCAAGTATAAAGAGGATAAACAGCTTTAAAGGGGGATTAGATAGATTCACGGAGGAGAAATCTATCAGTGGCAACTAGCCACGGCGGCTGAGGGGAACCTCCACATTCAGAGGCACTAAGCCTCTGAATCCCAAAGCCAGGAGGCAACATCATGGGAAGACCTCAGCCTCTCTGCCCTGTTGCTGGCCCTCCAGAGGAACTGACTAGCCACTGCGTGACACAGGATACTGGACTGGATAGACCACTAGTCTAACCCAGCTGGACTCTGCTCATGTTCTAATGTCCTTATGGCTTACGAGAGAGTTCTCTTTCTGCGCACATTGCAGGGCGAATACAATACTTACTGCAGTTTTCGGCCTTCTTGTTTCTGTGGATCACGGTCTTTTGGCTGGCAGTGCTGAAAAGACTGGTCCAGTTGATGGTGTGATAGAAGCACAAGTTGGTGTTGTCCGTTATGTAGACGTTGCCCGCACTGATATGCTTCAAGGACTGGAAATGCAGCGATCGAATGCGCTGCTGTTTGAGAATAAGCAAGGAGAGGCCACTGGAAGAGGAAACAAGAAGAGAACAGTCAATGGGGGAACTTCTGCGGTTGCTCAGCGACAGCCTTACACAGCACCGCCCCCCCAAAGGTAATCAAAGTGAGGTCTCTGCTGTCCACATATTCACCCATCCAGACAGGGGCAGATTAACCATGAAGCAGACTCAGCACATGCTTAGGGCACCAGGGCCAAAGGGGGCACCACAAAGTTGGGAAAAGGTTGAAAAGAAAAGAAAATGAAGATTTGTTAAAAAAAAAAAGAAAGATAAAACTAGTGCACATTGATCATGGTGCACCCTAGGGTTATCTTGTATTTTTTGTTGGTGAGGTGCAGGGTCATAGGCTATGGCACCAAGATTGGGCAGTGCTTAGGGCACCAGTGAGCTTTAATCCGTCCCTGCATCCAGACTACTGATGTGCCACAAAGAGGCACAAAGCCATGGGTGTGTGAAGGTGAGGAGTGACTTCAACGGAAAAAATCTGGATGGATCACTGTAGTACAGCAAATCACATACTTGCTTCGCCTAAAGAATAAACCAAGAGAAGGCATTACTAACAAGCTCTGCCAGCCTACACATAACAATTAAACAAAAATATCCAAGGGGCAGTTCATGCAGTCATAGAATCACAGAATCAGAGAGTTGGAAGGGACCTCCGGGGGTCATCTAGTCCAACCCCCTGCACGATGCAGGAAATTTACAAATATCTCCCCCTCCACACCCACAGTGACCGCAGTTCCATGCTCAGAAGATGACCATGGGCATGGGTGGGAACTTGTGAACCTCCTTCCTTCCTTCCTTCCTTCCTTCCTTCCTTCCTTCCTTCTTTCTTTCTTTCTTTCTTTCTTTCCTCCTTGACCAGGACCAACAGTCACTTTTCATGGTGTTCTCCTTTCATCTACTTAGTCCTCATAAGAACCTTGTGAGGGTGCTTTAGGCTGAGAGACCGTGACGGGCCCAAGGCCACCTGGACCGGCTTCCATGGCAGAGCAGAGAATTCCAACCCAGTCGTTCCAAGTCTGAGGCAAATCCTGTAAGCACCACGCCAAGCCAGTCCTCATTCACTGAGTAGACTAGGCTTCACAACTGGCGCTTCAGAAAAAGATCCCAATAAAGGAAAACTGTATCCTAACTGCGCTCAATTAATTTTTAAATATTGAAGTGAACAGAATACAAAAATTATTTGTGAAGTACACAATATATACACATATTCAACAGTTATTGGTTGTTGTATAGGTTGTTAACGATGATCTCTGGAATGTTCATCCGTTTTGAAAGATATCTTCTTCTGAACAGATGAAGGAAAATGAAGAACATGTGATGTCTCTGGTCAGTTTTTCAACTGGTACATTTTAAGAAATTCATAATTTTCTTCGATATGTCAAAACATTATTGAGAGGATGTTCCTGCTGATTCTACATAGGGCAAAATGCTGTAAATCTCCTCCTCCTCTTCTTCTCCTCCTCCACCTCCTCGAGTTACACCCTTCTGTCTGAAGAAGGGAGTGGTGACTTCCGAAAGCTCCTCCCCTGCCACAAATTTTGTTGTCTTTCAAGTGCTCCTGGACTGTCACTCTTCCCTACTACTACGGACAGACTGACAGGGTGATCCATCTGGATCTATCTGAAGAAGGGAGCAGTAAGTGACTCGCGAAAGCTCCTCCCCTGCCACAAATTTTGCCAGTCATAAAGGTGCTGCTGGACGCCTGCTCTTTTCTGCTGCTGCAGACAGACGAACACGGCGACCCCTCTTGATCCTTCTAATCCCCTTGTGATTTCAGTGGGTTTGGAAAGATGTAATTCTGATTGTGAAGGCACAGTTCTTGATCAATCAGATGACTACACTTTGCTTCAGGGGGTCTGCCAAGACCGCTAGGGGATGGGTGTGTGTGTGAAAGGTTGCCAGATCCAGGTTGGGAGATTCCTGGAGATTTGGAGGTAGAGCCTAGGGAAGACAGGGGCCTCATTGGGGTACAATGCCGGAGAGTCTCCCAATGCTCCCTCTAAGCTATGGAGTCCTATGAGGAACAATTCTACTGGCATTAAAGTTGTGAGCAGGTGATTTGACTACTGCATTAATTAGTCTGCTCAGGAGCCATCCTTCCTGAGCTAAGATAAAAATCTGTGAGCCAGAGGCTAAAAAAAACTGTGAGCGAGCTCACACTAACTCAGCTTAGAGGGAACACTGGAATCTCTCCTCCAGAGCAGCCTTTTCCCCCCACAGGAACTGATCTCGGTAGTTTGGAGATGAGCAGCAATTCCGGGGAATCCCCAGGTCCCACCTGAAGGCTGGCATTTCCTGACTTTCTTCTAGACAAGACGGCCTTTCGAGAAGAGATCTCTTGACTGAGTTGTTCTGATCACAACCCAAACAGGCAAATGGATGAAAACACAGAGCAAAGATGACTTTGGTCAGCATTCCAGAGTTCAACGGTAGTGAAGCGAAGGCCTACTTTGAGCCAGCTTTGTGCAGATTTGTTTGATTTTTTTTTTTTAAGTGATCATTATTTCCCATCTGTTGTTGGTTTGTTGTTGTTGTTGTTTTGGATGCAAGCCAATACCACACAAGCCAGCACGACTGTAATTTAAATCTCAAGGTTTCTCTACTGCCCACAATATGTTTGGGCTATCGTTTTACAACCCCTGCAGAATCCCTTGACTGATTAACTACTTTTTGTTCCATGGGCTATGGTTTATATTACACAGATATATTGCTTCGCACCCCTTCTATTTTGGTATCTTCCCTTCCTCCACATCACTTTTTCATATCTGGATAAGCTTTTAAAGATGGGACATGTAAGCTATTATTACAAGCCCTATGTACTATAATGTTGCTACAACCCCTCAGCAATCTAGCCGGTATATTCTTTCATTTTCTAAGACACACACAAAAAAATCATTCAGTACCAGAGCAACATTTATTGGCAGAAGAGCAGCAACATTTCCAAAGATCTTAGTTCATAATGAAACCGGAGTACCAAGAGGCAGATTGCAAAGGTAACACCGATTGTGACTGACAACATTCAAGTTTGGCACTTGAATAGATTGAAATGTATTTGTCATAACAAAATGGACACAGAGCAAGATTAAAGCGAATGAGCGAGATAAAACTGAGCAGTCATAACAAGGCAATCCAAAACGCCATCGATCCAAAAGACAATAAGGGATGTGGGAAACCAGACGGTTTTTACTTTCATTTTATGGAGGCTCATGCAGCAGTGGCCACTTTCGGGAGGACCTCTTGGCTGTTACTTGAGAATGGAAAATCAATTTCTCACAAATTAGACCAAAACTCTCACCCCTTCAACAACTCAGGAAAGAACATTCTTACAGAACACAGAAACGGACATGGTTGTTGTTTTTTCCCCTGTTAGAAAATCCTCTAGTATTAGGTGGCATTAAAATCCCTAAGAAAAAAATTATGTAGGAGAAAAAGTCACTTTTTTGCTTTGTTGTTGTTGTTTTTTTAAAAAAAGGTAAAGGTAAAGGTTCCCCTTGCTCGAAAGCCAGTCGAGTCCGACTCTAGGGTTGCAGTGCTCATCTCCGTTTCAAAGCCGAAGAGCCAGTGCTGTCCGAAGACGTTTCCGTGGTCATGTGGCCGGCATGACTAAACCCCAAGGCGCACGGAACGCTGTTACCTTCCCACTGAAGTGGTCCCTATTTATCTACTTGCAATTTCTTGCTTTCGAACTGCTAGGCTGGCAGGAGCTGGAACCAGAGACGGGAGCTCACTCCGTCATGCGGCACACTCGGGTCTCGAACTGCTGAACTACTGACCTTCCACAGCCTGCAGTTCAGCGTCTTAACCACTTGAGCCACCGCAGCTCCACTGTTTTTTTTTAGAAGAATGCATAACAAAGCCTCTGTTTTAGGACACAGATTCAGGTCGGGTAGCCATGTTGGTCTGAATCAGCAGGGCAAAGTTTGAGTCCAGTGGGCACCTCTAAGACCAACAAAGTTTTATTCTGGGCATAAGCTTTCATGTGCATGCACCCTTCTCCAGATACAGGTTGTTGTGTACTGAGCCTAATCTCGTCAGCCCCAGCTTGGGGACACAGAACAATGGACTGCTAGGACCCTGGGATGGACCTAGCCTATTGTGGGGAGTGGGTGTGTGATGGGTGTGCCGTTTTATGGGCTTACAAGCAGGGCCACGGCCCTGCTAGAGTTGTCTTTAAAAAGGTAAAGGTTCCCTTGCTTGAAAACCAGTCGAATCCGACTTTAGGGATGCAGTGCTCATCTCCATTTCAAAGCCGAAGAGCCAGCACTGTCCGAAGATGTTTCCGTGGTCATGTGGCCGCCATGACTAAACACCAAAGTTTGAGCTGAAACCACTAATAAACTATGAGCTTATATTTCACAGTATATTTCACAGGTCTTACCAATCACCTTCATCCAGTCTTAGCTGTATTTATTGCTCGGTTACTTATGTACCTTGACTCTATTTGACCCTTCCTAACGACACCCTCCCCACCCGCTACCTATATGTAATGGTTGGTGACTTCTGCTTCAATGTATCTGAAGAAGCATGCGTGCCCACAAAAGCTTTTACCTTGAATAACACTTTTTGGGTCTTAAAGGTGCCACTGGACTCTAACTATATGCTTTTAGGACATGTTTCCTGTTATATTAGTATGCAATTTCCTCAAATCACTACCTCTTGCCACTTACATTTTCCCCTTTGTGGACAGAAAAGTGCTTGAGGTATGAAACAGGCCCCAAAATGTGTTCATTTTACCACTGGGGTGCTTTTTGACCCCAGCAAGTGTAACGTATTTGGGGAAACAACGTCTCAGCCGTGGCACAGGTCCAAACAGCACCACTTCCCATGGGGCCTTACACTGGACTTGGCATCCACCGTTAGCCATGGGGAAGCCAAAACCCAGCAATAATAGCAATGTCGGGGGGCACCTCAGGCTTTGCTGGCATAGCCCAAAAGAACAGGCCAATGTGCCACTGTTTGGCATACATGAACGAGGTGGTCAACCCTTGGGAGGTGGTGGATGCTCCTTGACTGGACGTTTTCAAGCAGAGACTGGACGACCATTTTTCGGGTATGTTGTAGGGCTCTCTTTCGGCTCTGCTCCTGCAGAGTGCAGGGGGTTGGACTAGATGACCGGCAAGGTCCCTTCCAACTCTAACATTCTATGATTCTATGAACCCCTGCTCCATTGTTCCACATTCCTTAAACGACAGATCTAGAAGATATCCAATCCACTCCTCACTATTTGGAGGCATGTGACTTTTGAGGTCCAGATGATACATCTCCGATCATTAAATGGGCAAAGGGTTACTTAATTTGTAAAGATAAACCTGTTGTTTGACATCTGCATTGAAGTGGAAGGTTGCAGTGTTGGAAAGCATTGGCAGGCGGCAGTAGGTGTCCACATGGGGAGGCAGAGAAATTATCCAGACCCCAGTCAGGGTGCTTCAGTGTCAAGCGGCCCCTCCCATAAGCACAGATTTTTTTAAAAAGAAGAGGAGGAGGAGATTGGATTTATACCCCGCCCTTCACTCGGAGTCTCAGAGTGTCCGACAATCGCCTTTCCCTTCCCCTCCCCACAACAGACACCCTGTGAAGTAGGTGGGGCTGAGAGAGCTCTTTTGAGGACTGCTCTTGAGAGAACAGCTCTGAGAGAACTTGTGACTGACCCAAGGTCACACCAGCAGCTGCATGTGGAGGAGGAGTGGGGAATCAAGCCCGGTTCTCCCAGATAAGAGTCCGCCACTCTCAACCACTACACCAAACTGGCTCTCAGAAATCAACACGTTAAGCAAATTATGATTTCTGAGTGATGATTCAACTGTAAGAATTCTAAATGGGTGGGGGGGATCTCCAACCTGTAAAGTGCTCTTCCACCGATGGTCACCAAATTCGAAAAGACACTGAAATCTGTCATGTTTTCCGGCCACGACTGTATGTTCAGGTAACCTGAAGAGAATGAAAACAGAAGAGTTAGAAACTGTCTCCGCTGGAGACTTGGCTTTACTGCACACTCCTTACTGCACAAATGCAATCTCAAAAAGCAGGAAGTGGGTTGGATCCCATGCAAAATGGCTGCCGACAGAAGGGATTTCCATCAGTGGCACTGGACTCCCCCCTCCAGGGGCGGATGAAGGCTCACGGGTGCCCTAAGCACTGACCAATCTTGGTGCCCCCCTCCTTCCCACACTGACCCAGTCCGTTTTAGTTGTTGACCTGTCTGACCAGATCTACAATGCAGGTTGCAGCAATACAGAAATTTATTCCTACGATAACACAATAGACTGTACGAACTAAGCCAAGCTTGGGCTACATAAAGTTCTTTTCACCCTTTTCCCAACTTTGTGGTGCCCCCTTTCGCCCTGGTGCCCTAAACACCTGCCTAGTCTGCTTCATGGTTAATCCGTCCCTGCCCCCCTCCCACTGCAGCCTCAAATCCCCCTTCCTCAAATGCTACTCCTGGTGGACAGGGGACCTCCCCCACCCCAGAACAGCATGAAGGGGGAATTGGAAGACTGCCGGAAGAAGAGGAATTGGCAAAAATCTCTCCCCGTCCATCAGTAGGGATTTCCACTGGATTCAACCCATTTTTGTGGCTGCCCGGCCTGTGAGCTGAAGCAAAATGAAGGGATACCCCTGCTACCCTCTGTGCAGAAAAAAACACCCCATAATGGGGTTTCACTGCAAACCATCCCTCCTACAAGTGTCCTGACTAACAGAAGAGAAGGAAAATGGCAAAAACAGTGAACACAAGCGCCCCCCCCCCCCGGTACGCAATGCCCTGAGACACACCATAAGTGAACAGCATGGAAACCAAGGCTTGGGTCAGTACTCTGTGGCCCACGCAACCCTGTGCATTGCAGTGTGAGGAAAAAGCAGCCTTCATGATCAGTCTGGGGAGGGGGGCACTTGAACGCGGAGGGAGCTCGCACGAGGGACCACCGAGCAAGGGGCTAGTGCTCTTATGAGCACGACAACACCATTCACAGAGCTCTTCCATGTCAGTGGTTCCTGTTTCTCATGCGACTCCCTTTCCTTTGCCCTTAACCAGACATTTTGGCATGCAGATGTTCAAGAAGCTGCCTGTCTGGAGTTGCTTTTGGACCCAGGCCTACTGCTGGACAAGCAGGTGGCAGCCGTGGCCAGGAGTGCCTTTGATCAGTTTCAACTGGTTATCCGGCTGCAGCCTTTCCTGGCCACTGTGGATGCCCCTGGATACATCTAGAGGAGACTACTGCAATATGCTCTGTGTGGGGCAGCCCCTGAAAAGCGTTCAGAAACGTCAACTGGTACAGAACGACGCAGCCAAGATGTTGGCTGGATTGTAGGGGCCATGTCACTCCAATCTTCGCCCCTCTACGCTGGCTTCCAATTTGTTTCTGGGCACGTCAGGGTGCTGGTCTTGACCTTCGAAGCCCGTCATGGCTCCGGACCAACGCACCTGAACGACTGCCTAATTCCTTGCGGCCCTGCCCGGCCCCTATAGTCATCTTTGGAGGCCCCGCTTCTGAGATAAGGTGGTGGTAACCTGGGAGAGGGCCTTCTGGGTCACAGAACCAAAGCTCTGTTTGTAACCTGAGATCAGGCAGCTCTTCTTCCAACCAGTGATTTCAGTTTATTAGAACAGAACACAACGATACATAGAACGATCTCAACTTATATGCAGTTTGGAACTGGCTAAACCACACCCATAGAACAGTAAGGCCCAATCATGAGTGAGCGCTTGGGACCAATAGGGTTTGCTCCCGCCGAAAGTCATAGTCTTTCCTGATTGGTCCGTTGCGCAACGGCACCCAATCAGGCTGTTGATTTTAGGATCCTGAGAGTCTATGGCGCTTGTGACTGAAGCTCGGGCTATTCACATACAAATACATAACACTCTGGAACCCTCGCCCCAGGGAAATTAATCTGTCCCCTTCTGTTGCCATCTTCCGCCAGTGGGTAAAGACCTTTTTTTGTTTGGTTTGGTGTTCCCTCGGCAATCTTTTCTTCCTAACCAATGTTTCTGTTTTTTAACTCTGTGTGTATTTTAACTGCCTCAGTGGCCTTTGTAGGGGCAGAAACACGGGATACATTTTTCATAAATGAATAAATAACAATGGCCCCGGTCACACGGGCCAGATAACGCGGGGAGGAGGGGTGGCTATTAGCACCGTCGCAATTTGAGTCGGCGCATGGTTCTTGCAGCGCTGCAACAGGGCAAAAGGAGCACGCTGGGGCGATCAGACGGAGACAGTCCGTCCGCGGCCCTTGGCAAACAATTTGCTAGTGGCTCGTGGGCGGTACTTTTTAACTCCGGATCTTCAGCGGTAAGCTACGGGCTGGGGATGGGCGGGCGACGCTTCCCAGACGTTTCTGTATGGTTGCACCCGTTTAATCCGCCCGGCAGTCGTGCCTCTCCCGAGGCAAATTCTCCGTGTGACCGGGACCAAAAAATAGTATTAGCCCCCAACCACACAGATGCCAAACCAGAGCACTGTTCACATCGGCTGATGAGGGACCACTGTTTACTTTTAGGCTGCTCACATGTGTGCACTTTTAGGCTGACTGTGTGCACCTTCTCTCCATCACGAGGGCCATAAGAAGGAACAACTCCAACTAGTTGGGTAGGTCACAGAGTGCTAGAATCAGAAGGGACCTCCAAGGTCGTCTAATCCATCCAACCCCCTGCTCAGTGCAAGAATACCCAACGATGGCATCCCCGACAGATGGCCAGGCAAGCCTATGGATTTACACCTAGATGTAAACCCGTAGTAAAACCATCCAGATTCTTTAACGTGACAGCCAGATATCTGCAATTAGTGGGAAGACTGAAGAGGATCTTCTGCTTTTATATAGTAGTGGCACTGTAGGGTGTGCAGGTCACTTCACGTATATCATCCCAGCAATATTACGGTGACCCGATACAGCAGGTCAGTTGGTGGGTATCTTTATGATGAAGAGGAGGGGGACAAACCCTACAGGGTGGGTTTTCCCAAGTTTTGAACTGGAGGTGCGGTATGAATCAGGAATTTCTGGGTTCACCGTCCATACTCTCAGCCGCTGTCTCCCACTTCACTTACACACTCGTTAGTTTTAAAATATGGGGGGGGGAATGAAGAGTCTGAATTACGTAATGTCACAAGGGTCGGTTACCTGTTATTTCCCTCACTGTTTGGAAGACATTTAAATTCTGCGGGTCGATGGCTTCGATCATGTGATAAGGGTCCCTGGAAGACAACAAAGACACACCGTTAGCCAGCCACGTTGACAGGTCTGCTCCCAGTCCTGTGGATTAAACCAACTTCATTCGTCCCTGATCGAGAATCTGGAATTTGGGGATGAGTCAACAGGGCCTCCCCAAGCCCCCCCCCCCCAACTGCTTAGGGACAAGTGAAAGGAAAGAGGTGAGGCAAAGACTCCCTCTTTGGGGTCCAGATTCAGGCCTTCCCCTGATATGCTCTTCAGAGTGGCTGCCAGAACGGCCTGGGTGTGTGTGTGTGTGTGTGCATGTGCATGTGCGTGTGTGTGGACAAGGATCCTCAGGGGAAGGCGATGCAAGACCAGAGGGATCCTAAGAACATAAGAACATAAGAGATGCCAATGTTGGATCAGGCCAAAGGCCCATCCAGTCCAACACTCTGTATCCCACAGTGGCCAGAAATACCAGTGCCATCAGGAGGTCCAGCAGTGGGGCCAGGACATTAGAAACCATCCCACTGTTGACCCCCCCCCCAAGCACCAAGATGACAGAGCATCCCTTGCCCCAGAGCCCCTATCTATACCTTGTGGCTAATAGCCACTGATGGACCTCTGCTCCATATGCTTATCTAATTCCCTTTTGAAGCCGTCCATGCTTGTAGCCGCCACCACTTCCTGTGGCAGTGAATTCCATGGGTTAATGACTCTTTGGGTGAAGAAGTACTTCCTTTTATCCTGAGGAGAACTCACAGCTCACTGCCCAACTATTAACCTTAGAGAGCAACACACGTCTTATTTAGAAAGCTCAGTGTTCTATAGGTATCCCATTTCTCACATCTGAATTGGGGGGGGGGTATAATTCCACTGAGACATATTTCTCTCAGGCTCAATCCTGACACCAGATCAAATCACAGAAGCCAAGAGGATGCTTACCTACACCCCGACCCCGACGTGCACGTCACCCGGAAGTGACACGACCACGCCGGGCACGCTGGGGGCGGGGCCACGGTCATCCGAGGGAAAAATCATGCCGCTCAAAAAAGCACTTGGCAACCCTACAGCTATACGATATCATTTTTGGCGAGCTCACTTTCCCCACAGGCACACAGCAACTGCAGGAAGTGCCATTTATTAAAAAAAAATGAAGGGATCCCAGTTTGGCATAAAAAAACCCTCTTGGTGTGTACCATCTTGGCCACTACACAATGTTACTGATCAGTGAGTGACTTGAATGTGGAATTTGGGCTTCCTTTCGCCGAGGTTTGGACTTACTTTGGCAATGACCGTGAACAGACCAAGACTGTTTTCGTTGCCATAAATGCATCTTGAAAAAAGAGGATGCAGATCAAAAAGGTACCAAATCACTAAAAAACAAAGCAAGCCCCTAAAATTATGTGTTTTCACAAGTGAGTATTTGAAATAAATAAGCACTAGCCTTTTGCAGAACAAAACAAGACAAAAATGGATGTGTGCACAATTCTATGTCCGCAGCACAAAGACATTCATTGCAGGCCCTCCTCGGGTGCCCTTCAGATGCCATCAACTAGTTCAAAGAAGACTAATTGGCCAAGGCACCTTTTGGGACAGGCCCGAAGGACAGAGACGCACAGCCAAGAAATGGGGGTCAGCTCTAGGTTTCAGAATGAGGTCAGCAGGAGGGGAATGGAATGTTCACATCGAGCCCAAAGGACTTTGCCGAACATTGTGCAATGAATTCCTTTGGCTTAGCCGCTCTGCCCCCCCTCTGCCATGCAACCAATTTCATCCTGGATTACAGTTTTTAATTATGCTTTTTACTCAGCATGCAGTGGCTGAAAAAGGACTGCCGTCCGTAAGGCAAAATGCTTCAAGGTGAGAAAAGTTCAGTCAGGGGACTAAAAAACCGCTGTTTACTCCTTATATTTTTATACCCTCGCCAAAAAAGGGGGGGATTAAAAAGGTAGGTAGCAAATAGCCATTTTGTAGTCCCTCCTTCCTCTAAGAGTTTTACAGATGCTGCGACCTGCCAAAAAGACAAATAAGTGGGTTCTAGATCGAATCAAGCCTCGACTCTCCCTAGAAGCTAAAATTACTAAACTGAGGCTCTCGTACTTTGGTTGTATCATTAGAAGACAAGACCCACTGGAATAATAGAATCAGAGTTGGAAAGGGGCCATACAGAGCATCTAGTCCCACCCCCTGACCAATGCAGGACCAGCCTAACACATCTCTGACAAATATCCGTCCAGCCTCTCCTTGAAAGCTGCCAGTGAAGGGGAGCTCACCACCTCCCTAGGCGGCTGATTCCACCTTTGAACCACCCTGACCGTGAAAACGTTTTCCCTGATATCCAGCCGATACCTTTCTGCATGGAATTTCCAACCCGTTGCTTCAGGTCCTGTCCTCTGCTGTCAACTGGAACAGCTCCTTGACCTCCTCCAAATGACAGCCCTTCAGATATTTAAAGAGAGCCATCCTGTCCCCCCTCAGTCTCCTCTTCTCCAAACGAAACATTCCCAGGGCCCTCAGCCTTTCCTCGCAGGGCTCAGTCTCCAGACCCCTGATCCTCCTCCTCACTCTCTTCTGCACTCTCTCGATTTTGCCCACATCCCTTTTTGCAGTGAGGCCTCCAGAACTGCACACAGGACTCCAGGTGCGGCCTGACCAAGACAATCATGCTAGGAAAAGTTGAAGGCAGCATGAAAAGAAGAAGACCCAGCACGAGATGGATGGACTGTACTGAGGAAGCCACAAAGGGCCTTCAGTTTGCAAGACCTGAGCAAGGCTGCTAATGACGGGATGTCGTAAGTCGGAAGACACTTGATGGCCGTTCACACAAACACACACACACACCTCCTTTCACAGAGCTTAGGGTAGCATACAAGGTTCTCCCTTTTTCTATTTTGTCCTCATGGGGCTGAGAGAGTATGTGAAAGGCGCAGGGAGCTTTTTGGCTGCATGGGAATTCAAACGCGGGTCTCACAAGACCGACGTTCTTCCAACTCCTCTCTGAATTGACAAACCACAGTCAGGGCAATGGCGTAATCGCCGGAAACTGCCACAGCTCAAAGATTTGCACACCTCGAGCTCCAGTGGCCTCGGAGAAAAGGTGGTACTTGTAGTGTATTAAAAGCTGCCTTGAATGCATGACATGTTGTGAAACATCTAATTGAACTGTAATGTTAAGCTTCGTCCTGGGCTAGGATCCAAAGCCATCCAATAGTATTGCTAGCCCAGGCAGTAACGAGCCAATCACTTTAAGCAAGCTCCCTGAGTGGGAACTAATATGATTGGACCTTATCTCTGCAACCTCATAGGTTGATATTTGTACAGTGGGTGTGGCTACATTATCCGGGAACGTTTAAAAACAGGACAGCTGCAATGTAAAGGCTGTTCTGGCTATCAGATGTTGATCCGTGTTGGAGTTTGTGTTCGAGTTGAAGAATAAAGTCGTGTTCTTGCTGAATCACTCTCCGGCTGCTTTGTTAAGTGAGCGACTTAACAGTACTATAAATACTTTACACAGAATAAACCATAAAGACTAGCAGGTGAGCAGACAAAAACAACAACAGCAAAACCAGCAGTCAAACTGCTCTGAACTTCAGTCTGCCCTCTATATACTGGCAGCTGAAGCTGCTGTGTAACTGGGAATCCAGTTCCGGTGGATGGAAATATAAACAGTGTCTTCCTATTCCAGGACTAGTGAAGCTTTTATTACTTGAAGTACTTCCCTTAATACGTAAAATTACATGATAACTACATTGCAGAAGGGTAATCCCACTGACTCAAGGGATACCCCAGCACTAGAATTCCTCGAGCACAGGTTTCCCAAGTCCCTCCTGGCAACCAGTGGGGGGTGGCTGGAAGCAGCAGGGAGGCCCAGCCCAGGTACAGTGATGTGTCTATGTCACTGCCCACGTGACCTGGAAGTGATGTCATCACCTCCAGGATGTTGGGGTGACACTCTGGTATCTGATATCTATGGTAAATTTGGCTTCTACCATAGAGTTTTTGCCCAAATACCAGAGTGTCACCCCGACATCCCACATGTGATGATGTCACTTCTGGGTCATGTAGGCAGTGATGCAGACACGTCACTGCACTTCAGATGGTTCTGCTTTTCTGGGGTTGGTCCCCCCCCACTGGCTAGCTTATCAGTGACAGGGAGGTGGTGCCCTAAGTACACACTGTATTGTTGTATGGCTGCCCAAATACCACCGTTGGGCATTAATGTAGTTTGGTGTCGTGGTTAAGTGCGTGGACGCTAATCTGGGAGAACCGGGTTTGATTCCCCACTCCTCCACTTGCACCTGGCTGGATGACCTTGGGCAAGCCGTAGTTCTGATAAGAGCTGTCCTTGAAAAAGAACAGTTTCTGTCAAGAGCTCTCTCAGCCCCACCTACCTCACAGGGTGTCTGTTGTGGGGAGGGGAAGGGAAAGGAGTATCCAGCAATCACCTCAGGTAAACTGCAATAATTATCTTTACATTCAAAGAAGAATTTTTCCTGTGGTTAAAAAATGTTCTTGGCTGAGGCGAGATCTGATATTACAGATACTAGCATAATTATCTTTAATTTTGTGTGGTATTCCCTCAGCCTGCCCTCCTTCCTGTCCTACATTTTAGTTGGTTTTTTTTTTTTTTGCTTTTTTATGTGTATTTTAGCTTGGGCCCCGGTCACATGAGCCAGATAACGTGGGGGGGGAGGCGTGGCTGTTCACCCCAGAGCAAAATAAAGCGCGGTAGCCCGATCACATGGTCCCCCAAGTCTCCGTGTTTAGGCTGTTAGCTGGCAATCACACGGTGATGCTGCAGCGTGGTAAAGAAGCAGTGTGGCACGATCACACAAGCGTTTTGCATTTGTGCACATGTGCAGTTCCGTGGAGCAGCACTGCTTTCAATTTCATGTTTGTGCCCTTACGAAAAACATCCAGTTTGCGACGGGATGTGGACAAGCGCCAGATGTCATGGAATACTAGCGTTCCCGCAATCAGACGCCCGCTTGTGCTGCGCATTTTCCGGATACTAGTGCACTTTCCTTGGTACTTTTTA